AGGATGTTATATACCCGCAACTATCTCGTAGGCGGTCTTCAGCTCGAAAGAGGTCGGCCGAAACTTGGCCCGGAATCGGAACCGTGCCTGCCTTCTTCGTCTCAATTGCTATTCGCACTTCAGCAGGTAGAACTACTGATATTAGGTGGGGATAAAGGAATGGACAAGGGTGTTGATGAATAGAAGGGATCAGTATATTCCATCGTTCGTCAAGAAGATGTGCGAGTCCTCTCTTCGTTTAGTAAAGCTTAGAATAAGGTAGTCAAAAGGTTAGGACAATGCTTCTTCGAGCTTCTCCTTTCTTACGGCCACACATTTCGTGAATAAAGATCTGCAAAGCTGTTCTGCAACTGACATCGATTACCAGTAATTCAACATGAGACGCAGCCAGATTCAGCCTCAGTGCTTTCCTCCTCTCGAGTAGATCCCTGGTGGCTTTCAAAATGCTAAAATTCCCTGCTCGGGGCATTGAGCTTTCACCACAGGCTTTTAGTCTTCCGAAAAACAGGTCGTGATCCTTTGTTAGGTTCTCCGATGAGTCCAGAAGTGGTAAAAGCTCCTCCAAGCTAACGCCTTCTGTGTAAATCTTTTTTCCAGCTTTCGTGCAAAGCGCACTTTTGAACGAGGAGATGGAATCCGAACCAATCAAAAGTCCTGATCCTGTCCCTATATTAAACTGCACTTCTTCTGGGATAACATTGCACTCCCTACGACAAATTTGTAGAATGATGTCTCCTTGCGATTGGATTCCTTGAGATCCTCGTAAAAGACATCCAGTTCTGATTCATCAGTAATTCTAGAGAAAACCAGTAATGTTAATGTGGTCGCTTGATGCAGAGGAGGAAAGGAGGAAGAGAGGAAGGGATGGCCCAGTGAGATGATAGGATCCCACGCGGATCGATTCGGGTGTACAATAAATTCAACACCTGCAACGACCCCTAATGGAACTCTCTCACTACAAATAATGAGTGCGCCAACACTCAGCTGCCTCAAGTGCGTCTTCCTGGACTTAGCTTCCTACAGGGAAATTGTAGTACTTGATGCGCACTGCGGTTACGAGGATGTGGAGATTAGTGCTAGTGGAGATTGTCCTAGCGTAAGTACAGGGCATAAGACATTCTCCATGGCGCATTGTTGGCGTAAATTGTCGGGTATCCATGGCGTCTTGTTCAACCTGACACTGATCTTGCCATCTGCGCCGGATATGGAAATCAGTGGGCAAAGCCTTTTCTTCACTTATATGCTGTACAGGCAATAATAGGTACATCTAGCCTTAGCAGGACCGTACCATGCTTTAATCGC